GTCAACCCTCTGATGGACCTGCCAGAGTAAAGCGAACATTGTGGCATTGATGTAGCAGCTATTTCCCACATTGGTGAGACGCATGCGGTTGATCTGAGTAAGCCCCAAGCCGGCAGCGCGGTCGGCCAACCTCTGCATTTCGGCTCTTCCTTGGTCCTCCAGGGTCTTCTGAAGGGCCACCGCGATGCCGTGACGCTTCAATGTTGGAGGTCGGAGTCTGGCACGAGTCTTGTTCCTCGTCCACCCAGTTGCAGCCCACTGCTTTCTTTCGGGCCTCCTCGCTTGGCAGCTTGATCCCCTTGCCTCCGTCTAACACTACCAGCCGCAGCGGTCCGACGCTTGATGATACAAATCCTGCATTACTTTAAATGGTTCTGGTCTATTCCCTATTATGGGTAATGCAGCAATGCAGGATTTTTCATAGCATCTGCCTCATATGAAACGTGAATGACGTGTCCATCCGAACTCTGTTGAGAGCATCTTCTTGCTGCAGTGACATCACCGCCACCATGGAGATCAGTTGAGTTACCTGCTCCTGTTTGCCGGAGCTTACGAACGGTCGTACCGAGCTGTGGCTGGGGCCAGGTTGGAGTCATTCCCCCTGGGCTCAAGATCTGTTTTGGCGTCAGCGGGCCTCGTTGGCTGCGGCTGCAGGACTCGGTCCCTAGAAACACACAAATCAACAAACACAAGAAAACAGCCGTGAAACAACCAGCTACGCTCAGAGAGGAGGTTATGTAGCTAGCTGCGGCGTGCGGACTTAGTCAGCAGGAGCCGTTCAGCGCGATACAAAAAGGCCTCTCTCAGCGACCACGAGCAAAAGCAACAGTGGGCCGTCGCGCAAAGCCGCGCAAGACAACGGGTGGATCCCAATGCAAAGCTCCGGCAGCCCTTCTAGCCCGGCGGACAACGGTCTGCCCCCGCGTCAAGTTTAAGCTGGGCTGCGCACACCAAAGTTAACCCTAGATTTGCACAGCTTTTGCAGAATTTCCGTGGGAACGGAGTACGCAGCCAAGGACCGTGAAAGCCATCAGTAGGACGGCCCCCTCCTTCAGATAATGCAGGCACCGTCGACGCGCAAGCCGGCCGCGTGCCATTACGGCCGGCCGCCGGCGGGGGCACATCAAGGGGCTGAAGGCCATAACGCGGCCACACCTCCAACTGACGACGAAAATCACCACGGGGGTCAATGAACGCCTCCCCGTACAAGGAGTAGAGAAAACGGTACTTTGATTTATCGTAAAACTCTTGCAGCTGGTGCACGTTTTTTTTTGGCATCTGCGGGCCTCGTTGGCTGCGGCTGCAGCACTCGGTCCCTAGAGACACACAAATCAACAAACACAAGAAAACAGCGGTGAAACAAGGAGCTACACTCAGAGGGGAGGTTATGTAGCTAGCTGCGGCGTGCGGACTTAGTCAGCAGGAGCCGTTCAGCGCGATAAAAAAAACTTCTTTCAGCGACCACGAGCTAAAGCAACAGCGGGCCGTCGCGCAAAGCCGCCCAAGACAACGGGTGGAGCCTAATGCAAAGCTCCGGCAGCCGTTCTAGCCCCGCGGACAACGGTCTGCCCCCGCGTCAAGTTTAAGATGGGTTGCGCACACCAAAGTTAACAAAGTCCAAAGTCCAATCCAAGTGCTGGTGTAGGCGTCCAGTGGATCCACGCTTGCGACCCAATGCAGATACATGGCCACACATGGTTGCGTTGCGGCCCACTCGCAGACGTAGAATAAGGCCAACATCAGCCAGATTGCATTTGCACCAGGCGTCTGGGCCTCGTTGGCTGCGGTTGCAGCACTCGGTCCCTAGATTTGCACAGCTTTTGCAGAATTTCCGCGGGAACGGAGCACGCAGCCAAGGACCGTGGAAGCCATCAGGAGGATGGCCCCCTCCTTCAGATAACGCAGGCACCGTCGACGCGCAAGCCGGCCCGTCCCATAATGCCGGCCGCCGGCGGGGCACATCAAGGGGCTGAAGGCCATAACGCGGCCACACGTCCAACTGACAACGAAAATCACCACGGGGGTCAATGAACGCCTCCTCGCACAAGGAGTAGAGTTTTGATTCATCGTAAAACTCTTGCAGCTGGTGCACGTTGAGCCGCTTGGGCGGCCGCATGGGCGGGTGAAGTTCCGGGATGAGTCCAGGCGTCAGAAAGATCTCCGGAAGGCCAGGGCCAACACCACCCATGTTTAGGCAGGCCTGCCCTTCACGCCGCCATAGGTCATACGAGGGGGTGTCACCCAGGACATACCTGTCCGAGAGCTCGTCATACTCGGAGCCCGTGTGATCATGGCTTTCCAATAGCGCATGCATGACTTTAGCTCGCCGGTCCTTCAGCATATACCAGCCGAGCCGGAAGAAGCGCAAAGAGAAGTATAACGGTCGGCGGCGGATGGGCCCACGCAACCAATAGCGAGACCTGCGGAAGGTTCCAACCACGGTTGCGGAGCCGACTGAGGGCGTTGCAGAGAAGCCCGGCGGGCTGGACTTGGGAGCATCAGGCGGATGGCGCCAGAGCAGGCGTTCGGGTGCACGAACATACAGGGGTCGAACTCGGGCTCATGCATAATAACGCGGCCGCGGGAGAAGGCTTGCACAATGCGCTCCGCAACCTCGTACTGGCGGTCACATACCGTCCTAGCTGGTACAGCAACCCGAATACGCGCCAGGAGGCATTGCCCGCTCCGCCCATTGGACACCTGCTCAACGCTGCGGATGGAGAGGAACGGATAATTGTCCGGAGTATCAAGCAATGCACGGACAAGATAGAAGAGGAGTTGTACGGGCAAAAGCGCACCGCAATGTAGGAGTGGTGTGTCAATGTGTGGCCCTCGGCCGTGGGGAATCGGCTGCCCATTCAATTTCCGCGGCGCTAGCGAGATGTGGATAAGGCTGCCGTCGCGTACCGGCGACTTCTAGCCTTGCACGTGCAAGTCCAGACTGGAGTCCTGACAGTTCGCCAAGGAAGAGCCACCACCACACTGACGGGCGAGCAAGCTTGTACCAAGATAAATGAAAACTTCACGTAGCTTTTGTTTCTGCGTTTACCTGTGGTGTTTTTGCAACTAGTGTTGACAGGAACCCAGCCTCGCACCGATGTGGTGTTTGGTTTGGCATTAGTCGCAAGAGTTAGCCGGGCCATCTTTGCTGAGCACGCAAACTTTGTTGAGCTGAGCTGCAGAGCCACGACATTCGCGCTCCATATCTTGATTACGGCGTGCGTGATGCAGTGATTTGTATTGCGATCCTCAAGGTTTGCACTTGCACGTATCAGCCTTTTCCATAAGTACCGTTAATTCCGTAAGCATTCAGTGTGGCATTGTTGTTTTCGGCCGCAAAACAGGTGAGTGCGAGCTTAAAGCAGTAAGACACGGAGCTTTTGCTTCAGTTTTGAAATCATGTGGTCGTGAGGCAAATGCGGCGCCCTTGTTGATGAGACTTTGTCGTGGCACTGCATTCGGCGCTGCGTTCTCTTCATTGATGTCGCTATGTGTCAAGGCCAGAGCTGCCCGAGTGTGAATTCTCGCGGCGTTTGGCAGAGCGCTGGCTTTGCGGGAAGAGGCTGGCTACGGTTGCGGCAGCAAGACAGTTGCGGCATGTTTTGTACGCGCATGCGATTGTGTTTCTTAGCGGGATTCCTGCATCATGCGGTTTTGACGTGCTGACGTGTTGGATGGGTCTGGATGTACATGACAGGATCAAACGTGTGTTGGCCGCAAGCGACAAGATCGTCTTTGACGAGGCATCTGCCGACAGTGGCCGGTAGACATTGGCATATTGGTGTGATTTGACCCAGGGCTGCATTGTCGTGTGGTATCAAACATCCATGCACAATCGTTGATGCAATCAGTGGTCGAAGTCAAGGTCAAGCCACCAACCTTCGCCCGCAAGTTGTGCAATCGGAAGATTGTGGCTTGCAGGCCGGTGCCGTCACTGTCAGTAGTTCAAGCGGACAATGAGGCAACTGTGTTTCATTTGGCAGCTCCATCGCGGTGTCATGTATTGAATTGGAGTAGCAACTCCACATGTTTCCAGGTTTTCACCCCTCCAGCGGAGTGTTTCGGCTCAAGCTGCCGGGCCGAATGATAATGTTCCTGCAACGGCTGTAGCAGCCGACGGCGATATGCAGCATCCAGGCGTGTTGATTGCGTCAGTGTGCTTGATGTGTGAGGATACTTACACTGGCAGCTACCTGCATGAGTCGGTAGGTGGCCTTTCGACGGATCCTGGTTGACGCGAAGTAGCTCAGGCACTTGTTGGGATTTGGAGTGCTTGCCTAGCAAGCCGGCGGGGCAGGGCCAAACTTTCTGACATGGCTGACCAATTCGACGGGTGCTGTAGGTCATCGGCATCAAGCTGTCGGCGTTACTTGTGTCGCCTACTTTCGCATTTTGCAAGTGGGTCAGTTGACAGCGGAAAGTTTGGGGACGAGCGATGGCAACAGTTTACAGGTGCACGCAGATGTGGAAATCCTGGGTCAATGCTCATCTTCCCTTTGGCCTCTTCAACTGTTGATGTTTCGCGAATCGATTCGTCACATGGTAGCAGCCCAGTAGCAACTTCTCCAAGTCTGCGAAGCACGCGCGCACCTGGATGAATGTATAAGGGTTGCGATTTCAGCAAGGGGTCTGCCGACAGTCTCCGTTTCCGAAGTTGTTCTCGCGGCTCTAAACTCAGAATGAGTTTGTCGGAGCATGGCACAGCCTTCGGTTTTACTCGGATTGCAGAGCGCCGAACACGTGCTTGCAGCTGTGTGATGCACGTACGCTGTGAAGATCCTGGGTCCAAGGGCGCTTGAACATCTGTTGGTGTCCAGCGCAGAACAGTTTTTGGCACTCGCACATGTTTACATGATGGCTTTGTGGATCGCAGGATTGCTCTCAGCACGGACGACTCGTTGTCTAGATAGTGCAGTGACAAGTGTCTATGGAATCTTTCTGAATCTGTTCTCACAGGTCTTGTGCTTTCGGGCCTAGCTTTCTACACCTCTCTTGAAATCATGAGCGGTTCGCTGCGCGCCTTGTCAGTGCTTGCCTTTCTCGCGGTTGCCTACAGCGACTGTGGCTCCTCCTTGGATTGTGTGCAAGGCACTCTGGCGGATGTGCAGAAGGCAGCAGAGGCGAGAGCCAAGGAGGAAGGAAATGATTTGTCCGGAAGCTACGATTGCCTTTCCGGGCTCCAGGACTTCGTCAGCTGGCAGCCAGCTCGCAAGGAGTATTGCTGTGCAACGCATGGCCTGGGCTGCCCCGGAGCAGCAGGCAAAACCATCTTTCTCAGCAGTGGTGAGGTGCTGGAGGAGAACGTAGCCGACGAGTTCGCGGAGAAGTTTGCTTCAGGCTCTCTGGATACCACAGGCTGGAGCTACAGTGCCGAGACCAGCTCGGGAGAGTCCTTGCCATCGTGGCTCAGCTTCGATCCCGAAACCCTCAAGCTGACAGGAACAGCACCAGACAGTGACCTCGCGACGGACGTCTCTGTGAAGGCTGTGAACAAAAAGTTCAAGAAGCCAGTCATCGCAGGCTACACCATTCGAGACAAAGTTGAACCACCCGCAGCACTTGACGTGCTTGCAATCAAAGGGCATCCGATGAATTATCCAATCCCTCCAAGTGCTTTCGGCTCCAGCACGGCTCCCAAAACCTTCGAGATCCAGGCTGTGCCTGGCGACTCTGTTCCAAAGTGGGTCTTTCTCGATTCGGCTTCAGGAACCCTCTCTGGTGTGCCTTCAGAAACAGGTCAGCACGTCTTGCAGATCTCGGCAAGCAACGCCGACGAAACGAAGACTCAAGTCCTCAAGCTCAGGGTGGAGGAGTCCGGCAGCACGGATGCGCACGGTGTGGCTGCCAGCCACGTACAGCTTCCATCCGCTGTCGCAGAGGTTGGAACACCCTTGGAGTATACTCTGCCCGCAGGATCTGCAGGACCTGCCAGCACGGTCTCCGGAGAAGACGGGAAGCAATTGCCGTCCTGGCTGAACTACGATGCTTCTTCAGGCACCTTCTCTGGAATTCCACCAGGAGCCGGAGATACTCCCGTGCAGGTGAAGTCTTCAAACGCGGTCGCTCACTTCAAAGTCACGATCCATGCCCCAACTCCGGCTGACGAAAAGGAGGCGCCAACACCAAAGCTGAAGGCTGCGGGGCAGCCGGATGCGGGTAAGCCGGCCGCGCCGGCTGCGAGTAAGCCGGCCGCGTCGGCCGCGAGTAAGCCGGCCGTGCCGGCCGCGAGTAAGTCGGGCGCGCCAGCCGCGAGTAAGCCGGCCGCGCCAGCCGCGAGTAAGCCGGCCGCGCCGGCTGCAGCTGAGTCGTGGGCACCTCCGGCAGACAGTTATTTAGACGAGGCCACGGAAGAGGCCTCTCAGTTGTGCGTGAAAGAGAACGTGGTGTGTGAGCCTTTGGACATGAATCTGACACCCTCAATGGCAGTCCAGTACACGAAGGATGCTGAAGAGTGCCAGGTAAAATGTCGTGAGCAGGAGTCTTGTGGCTGCTTCTCTTTCTACAAAGATTTGAAGCTCTGCCACTTCGCTTCAACAATGGCAAGCCTGGTCGAGGGCAGAGTGGGCTGGCAGGGAGGCAAACCTTTTTGCGACAAAGCCATGACAGGTGCCCAGGAGGAAACAGCCTTTGAGCAACTGATGACTGAGTCGTGCTTGGCCCACAACGTCAGCTTCGCCCCAAAGATAACCCGACCGAAGTCTTGGCCAACGACTGCTGTCGGCAGCGTCAATGACTGTCGGAGCCGGTGTTCTCGGATTGGCTCTGACTGTCGAAGCTTTGTGTACAACACTTTCACAAAGTCGTGTGATGTGCAAGACATGACGGCCTCGGTCATCATCGCTCCTGCATATGAAATGGCTGGCCCGAGGGTCTGCAACATGCGCGTTCCCCTGACGGTTACGATCCACCATCCCCCAAAGTTGCTTTGCTGACACTGTGCTGTGAACTGGCCGTGCGTGCTGACATGAAGCCTCTTAGATCGCTAAGGTTTGCTCAGAAGAACCTCGGCATCCTCAAGTCGACCATGGTCAAGGCAAGGGGGCTTTTAGGGGGCCTGGGTCCCTGGGTCCTGGGCCCTTCCAGCGCAGCCTGGCCCTTGTCGAGGTCCTCACCAGCTTCGCAGGGGATTATCCCGACTTCGACGGTCTTGAGCTCGTGTCCACAGAGCCGGCACTGAATGCCAACGAGGTGACGGTCAAAGATCCTTGGCTGGGCTTTTTTCGCTCTCCCAGAAAGGCAGAGAGAGAAGCTCCCAATCCAAGGTTATGAAGAACACCCCAGAGGCCATCGTCATGAAGATGCTGCTCAACGCTCCGGAAGTAAGGTTACAGTTCCTGTACAGGAAAGTTGTCAAAACACCAGACCTCCGCGCGAGGTTTAAGAAAATGGTGTCGCACTACATCCCGGACGATGTTCAAGCGAAGCTGGGGTCGTCTGTGAGCATCGAAAGGAAAAGTCCCCAGTTTCAAGGCCAATCCTTCCAGCAACGCATGTACGATCGTCTCGAGAACAAGGTGGAAATTACAGCCAGTGGCAAGCTGTTCAAGAGTCAGATGGTGAACTTGGCGGGTATGCTTTTCATTGGAGCTTGGGTGGCATTGGGCCTGGGCTACATCATCCAGCGCCGGCGTGGCGGCCAAGGTCAATGGATGTCTTGCGGCAAGGGTTGCGAGGCCTGTGCGGTGTGGAAAGCATGGCCCTACTGTAGCCCCAGAGTCGTGTTGTCTCTTTCATTCATCTCTTTTCTCTAGCGCGGCTGTTTTGCCGTCTGATCTGCAAGCTAGGTGTCTGGGCTTATGATTGCATACAACCAAGGCGTACTCAGTTCATCATGCTGTGAATTCTGTTATGGGGTTTAGAGCAGGATCGGCAAGATAGAGCTCGATCGCGCAACATGGTGGCTGCAGCTTGGCTTCAAGAAACTGTGTTTGCGAGCTCTTTGAGCATCGTTCGTCGGAATGATCTCTTTAAGGTGACGGCAGCGGATCGTCAAATGCTTCTGCTGGAACAGGAAGAGGTAGACATCGACTTGCCGGAGACACGCGAAGACGTGGTATCCGTCTAAGTCACGTTCTGAAGCTGCGAGCCTAGGACATGCATCGGTAAACGACAGCATTTGTCAATTGTAGGCGTGTTACATTATCAAACGCAGTCGCGGAAGCAGCACCAGAACCGAGTACATGCTTGATTGGCTTGATAATCGGGCGGCATGTGATCTCATGCCGTCTGCGTCAAAGAGCGCACGGCTCGAACGCGGTGATGGTGTTCAGGCAAAGCCCGCAACTCTGCAGCAGCGCTTTACGATATCGTCTCGAGCCAGGTAGAACTGTCACTTTACAAGCTGGAACTGCGAAACCCGATCTGGACTTGGAAAAGGCTGCAATTTTTTTGGGACGTATTCACGGTGCTGATTCCGTTTTGCATTTTTGGGCTGTCTGTTGGCATCGTTGGCGTCGCAAGCAGCAGGCGAATGTCTCGGTTCTTGTCAGCTCACACACCGTTCTGCTTTTCGACCCTAGAATAGTGGGAAGGGACTCTGCTCGAGAGTTTGACTCCTCTGGTGTCCTCAGTTTACTCTGGCCCCAGACTGTAAGCTCCAATCCTGCCAGAGCCGTTGTCGGTGCCCTACGTTGCTTGAGTTGCTGGCATTCATGCTTTTGCAATCTTGTAGACCAGTTTGCATTCGCGGCTGAGGTCCGAGATGACCGGGGATCTGCGCCTGGTCGCTATTTGATATCAACACTTGTAACACGGCCGTGCCAACATGAACCAACGGAACCAGCGTCCTCATTGCTTCGTGTCGGCTGAGGGTCTTGGGTTACAGCTGCTGCCTCATAGCAGGGGCGCGGTCCTCGACACCCGTGATGAGCCTGAACTTCTCTGAATGTGCGGCCACAGCTGGCAGGTTGGCTTCGGCATCAACTACCTGCCTGTCAAAGGCGGGGAGTAGCGGGGGGTGACAGATATTTCGGAGCAGCGCTTCAGAGTTGTCGCCGAGGCATCGACACGGGAGATGGTATTTTCTTCTCTGCGGTGATGTCGGTAGGCATCCTCGCAGTCGGATTGGTCACCGGGACAGTGCTGAGCAGCCCGCCTGGGCTGGAAATGCCCAAGTTTGAGCCCTGGGCAGCCTTCGGAGGGGCCGTTTGGATGTGCGGCAACTTGATGTGCCCCTACATCATCAAGCTGCTTGGTATGGGTCTCGGACTCACGGTCTGGGACTTGAGCAACATGGTAGTGGGTTGGTTCACGGGACGATTTGGGCTCTTCGGTGTCAACAAGGAGCATATTGACAGACCGTGGGTCAACTGTGCCGGCCTGGGTTTGGCCGTTACATCCCTCATCTTCTTCTCCTTGGCAGCGGGTTGCGAATCAAAAGCTGGTGAGGCCACCAGGAAAGCCACGTGCAGTGCAAAGAGCGCCGCCACAGACGAGACTGGCCAGGATGGGCCAACCTCGGAGTTCTCCACGGCCAGCACGGCCTTCCCTGAATCGGTGAGTGAAACGGATCTCGAGAACCAAGTCGCCACGCCGCCTACGCAGATCATTGAAAAACGCCTGGAAACCGAAAAGACTCCGGCATCAGGGCAGGACAAGTGCCCGTGTGAGAATCCAGACGCCCGCAACTTTGTGATAGGTCTTTGCATGGCGCTCCTTGCAGGAGCTGCGGAGCTGTTCCTTAGCTGCTGTGTCTAAGACTCTAAGCCTCCTTCAAACGCAAAAAAAACCTGTTTCATAGATGCTGGAAGGACTGTTCTTCGGAACCACCTTCGATCTTCCCACAGCTCTTATGGAAGGGCGCTTCGGACACCATCATAGTAAAGACGTGCAGTCCTCAGTTTCTTCTGGGCCGAGCCCGATAATGACTTTATCGTCTCTGTACTTCGTGTTGCTATCGCTAGTGTCAGGATGACGGTTGGTGTTGTCGCTGTTGTTTGGTTTTGTAGGTCATTATCCTTCAAATACTATTGTCAATCTCACTCGTCCTTTGTCGATGTGCTGCGCGATTGTCACCTCTAGTTTTGTGATGTTTACGTATTCTTATTGTCACTGTCATCATGGTTCCAACTGCTATGATTCGTTCCAAAATCAGTAATCGCCGACAGCGGTCACTAACATCAGTATTGGCATCAGTGGTGCCAAGAAGGACGATGACGACTCCCTCATCAGTGGTGTTGTGGTACTGTTTAACATATCCGGAAGGGGTTCGCAAGGGAACAATGTCTGAGTGAAGCGATGCAATCTACAGAATCTGGAGTTACTTGTCAAAAGGGCAGCTATATCCCGACAGAAAAGAAGAAGTCATGCTGCCGAGATTATGGATTACGTGTTCAGCCACTTCGCTGGCATCTTTGCGGCTGCTTCTGCGGCCATGGTCGTCTATTCGAGTGTGCTCAGGGAGAGGCACGGTGACAGCAGAGTGAAGTGAGGGAGGTCGAGGTCGATGTGGGGGAGTTTTCGAAAATTAGAGGTACTCTACTAGGGTCCCCCATTTTCGGAAGCTGCCATGTAGTTCCTGAGACGATAGTTGAACTCTGAGGCGCTACATGCCCCGTCGCATGATCCTTCCGGCTATCGCTTCGGGCGTCCTTTGGGGCATTGCTCAGGTTGCCTGGTTCCAGGCCAGGAGGACCAGCCCCCGCCCCGGGACCTCACCTTACAGTCAACTCTCCAGTCACTCATGTTCTGGACTTCTTGCATCAAACAAAGCGCTGACGGCCATAGCAATAATACTCGGCTGTGTGTTTGGGAGGCCAATATCGACCTGGGCTTTGCGGTGGCCTTCCCCATCATCGGCAGCCTTCCTGGGGTCGTTGGGCTGATCGTCGGCATGGCCTTTTTTGGAGAGGCCCGAAAGGGAAAAGTCGATCCTCGTTGCCCAAACCACCATTACCAACTGCCATGCCTCTCTCAGTGTTGAGCTGCCATCGGAGTTTGCTCTGGCTTTTAGGTCATGCACCAAAATGTCTTTTTTGATCACAGCCTGGAGGGCCAGACGCGCCCTAAACCTTCGTGTAACCCCGATGATTTCTCGAAGGTGAAGAGCAAGAGGAGCCGATTTTGGGCCGGCTTGGGTTTAGCGCTGCGCTTGCCAGGCCGGGGCAAGTCTTACTTGGTAGTTGCTCTTGTGGAAGCCTTGGTATGGTACGTCTTAGACTCTGACAGTTGGCATCATCGTCGTCACGAGCGGTGTTCGCACTGGAACGCTTCAACACGCGCGTTGTCTTTCCGCAAACCGTTTCCTCTTGCTCCTTCTTAAGCGGGTATCCATGCCACAAAAACCGGATTCCACGCAGCAAGATTCGACGTGTTGCTGAACTTCCACAAATGCAGCACGTGCAGGTGTCGTCCTGATTGCCGTCTCCACTTGAGCATCATCGATCTCCATGAGACTAGGTTTCTTCCAAGTTGGGAACTTCCAGGTGAGAAGTCTTATACTTTTGGGATGCGTGCCGTTTCTTCCATCTGTTCGAACGTCGGACCTGCGGCGGCTCGGATTCACGAGACACGTATCTCGTGATTGTCCACCGTGCGCTTGCCCAGAGGTGCCAATACTCTCTTCGTTTCACCTACTATTCCCGAAGGAATTCGATCCACTTGTGACAGTTGCGAGAGCCTGTACACGTATTGCATGCAAGCCTTCGCATGGCACATGCCCTGCTCCAAACGGCGTTATCTATTCCAATGCCGCGAATTAGTGGCAGACTTCCCAATATGCTTTCTATGATCAGGACCGGTTCGAATGCGCCAATCCGCCCTGCAATCGGGATGGCCTGTTGTGCAGTTCGTGGTGCCGCCGCAAGTGTTGCAAATGCCCCTAGCTGTCACCACTTAGTGTCATGGTGCTCCGTCCTGGGATGAGCCGAACTTGGCCTAGCTTGCAACAGACTGTCGGTCCACTCGTGCTAGACCCCCTAGCATGCTTGTACAGATGCCTCGTGCAGTGCTTTTGCATCGCCATCAACCCCATGGCAATGGGTCTGTCTTGCAGGCAGTTTTGTGACTTTGCCTGAGGCAGTTTGCCCACCGGATGTACAGGGGCGGGCATGTGAGACAACATTCCGTCCTGCCCATTCGCACACAGGGATTGACTGGCCTTTGCCCTGGCCTCGATGCACGAGAATAGGCATTCGTGGACCAAAATGCCGACTTGCTGGATTATCCAGTTGGTTGCGGCGGTGGGCATTCAATTTATCAGACTCCTAGGAGGTGACAGTGCGCTTGATTGAAGGCGCTGGGGCAAGCAGCTATGGTTTGACATGGACAAGGGGTGTTGCTGACGAGGTTTGGTTATCTGTCTTGTCGGCAGCGGGAGCCTGCGGCCATGCCAGGCCGTCTCCGATGTTTCATCTGGGCATGCCGGTGACTCGGTAAGCTAGTTTCTCTGATTTTCATGACCAGCACAAGGTGCTTCGACACCACATGCACATGTCCGCAGAGCAGTGTCCCCTGCGAAGGACTGGGAGCTTTCGCATCAAGGGCAAGAAAGCCCTCGTCTACGTAAGGCAGAAGGAGGAGCGCGGATAGATCGGAGCCGTGGTTGATGGAACAGGTTTTGGGCGGCTGCACCACAGTGATGTCAGCTCATCATTGCACGCACGCTGTTCTGTGGCTGCGTGGCTGTTCTCTCATACTTCCTTGTCCGAAGTACTGGCGCATTGGAGTCATGAATCGGCAGGAGGATCCCAATAGCTGGCCACCAAAGTTCTGGAAGGCGCGCCGCGATCGTGCTTGCAGCACATGCCGTCCTTCACAGAACCACAGAACGGTGTTCAGCTACTCAGCTACTCTCCCTCCCTCCCTCTCTCTCCCTCCTTATAACTCCTATAACTTTAGAAGTGCCATGTGCCATGGCGTGGAGGTGGAGCTGCAAATGGCCGATGGCACCTGCTTCGCGATGACCGACGCTCGTCGCTTCGGTCGGATTCGGTGCCTTGGCGCCTTTGTTAGAAAACTGCTTCTTTTTCTTGGAGTCTTAGAGGAGTTTCTGGTAATTATCTCAGAGAGTGTCTCTCCTTGCGAGGCTCTGCAAGGAGCCATGGGAGTGCCCGCCTGTATGTCACATGGGTCCGGAGGCTCAGCTCCCTGCTCCCTGCCCCAACCTGCTCCCCAGTCCTCCAAGAAGCTCTCGGTTGCGAGGTTTCGATCCGCTGCTCGCCATGCTGCGGGCTTAGGGCTTAGCCAGGAAACCCTAAAAGCCCTAGGCTTTTTCAGCATTAAGAATTAAGCCCATTAAGCCGAGTCTGAAACTTCGCTCCTTCCGTCCTCGCTCGTGGCTTCGAGGCCGAGGCTGGCTTGCTTCGCCGAGCAGCTGCAGGGGAGAAGTGCCGACATCAAGGCCCAGAAAGAGGAAGACGGCGCAATGTGACGCACATTGGGACATGGGCCCTTCAGCCAAAAGAACGGGCCTCTTTCGGGTTTTGCAGGCAGTGCTTCTGGATCAGGGTTTTGCGGCCGGGGCGCCAGCCTCGGACTTCAGTGCCGCTGCAGCGCACACAAGCTTAGCTTGGAAAGCTGGCCGGTTGCAGAGAAGACAGCCACGCCAAGATGCCCCTGTAGTGCTGTTGAAAAGGAAGCTCCCAGCTGTTCGCCACTTGCTGAGGTCGGCAATTGGGTTGCTGACGAGGTGTCCCAGTCCAAGGCTGTGTGTGTGGTGCTGAATGAAACGAGCCTAAAGGCCACAGCCGCAAACCCGAGTTTGCGTCTCTTTCCTTGTGACAAAGGTTGTACCAGGCGGCAATTCACCCACAGGCACGGCTGGGTGGGGCTCTTCGATGCCTTGTACTCTCGACGATGTCGGAAATGTGTGCTCTCGGGAAACTTGGCAAGGAAGCAGGATAGATGCAGTAAGTGCTCTGGGCTGCGAGACATCGCCACAGGAGCGCTGCTCCGACTTGACACCAGCTTCCGCCTTGCCCTTAGCCTTGACTTGCAAAGGGGCGCTGAGCATGGAAGGGGGCATTCTTTGTGCACCGAAGGGCGCTTCAAGAAGGGCCTTGGCCCTGGCCGCCAAGGTCGCCAAGTTGCACCGCAGCCTTCGCCTGGTGATTTCCGTGGCCTGCAAGGCCGGAGCAGACGCGAAGAGGTATCCAAGGCCCGGGGTCCGCAGTCCGCAGATGTCCGCAGTCCGCGGTTCAGTGTAGACCCGACCTGTGATCTGTGTGAACTCCATAGACTGGGACAGTCAGTATCTTACACGGAACGTTGTGGTGCCGGGTGCACATACGTTGTACTAACATGACAAGTTGTTGGTGCATCTTCCGCCGTCGCAGTACAGCCGTGGATAGCATCTCTGTTATCACCGCCGCCACCGCCACCGCCACTGCCCCACTGCCGTCATCGATGACAAGTTTGGAAAGTGGTAGCAGATGGCATAGGTAGCAATGCCGGTTTTCGTGGCAAGCTCTCGAACCCAGCCCGGGCTCGCAAGAATTCGCAGGACATGGCTTTTCCACTTTCGCTGGGTCGGCGCCTCAGTCTGGAGCTGCCGGCCGGGTTCTCATCGTAGGTCCCAGTGCGTTGTGATCTCTCAGGCAAAGGGCTCGAGCCAAGCGGTGGATGGCAAGGGTCGTGAGATCAAGTCAGGTCCCCGGAGGTGAGCTTCCTGCGGCCAATCCACTGAAGTTGGCTGCGCTTCCGGCCGACTTGACTGCCGCCGTGTGCTGAACTGTCGAGGTTTGTCACTTCCGGTGGACGGACATCCGCCTATGCCCATGCCCCGTGATGCTGACAGTGCAGGACTGTAGAGAAGTCTGTGCGATGCATCTCTGCCGGGCCACAACGAAAGACCACTTGGCTGCTTCTCTACTGCCAGTAGGCGGGCCACTCGAAGAAACACCCATCGCAAGTCGAGTTTCTTCTCAGGGAATCGGAGGAGTTCAGCCAGCCGAGTTTTATCCAGGCAACATTGCTCCACGGGGAAACAGCGTCGTCTCGCGCGTCTCACATTCGCGTAATCGGGCTGCAAGCCTTCGCAAGACTTGCAAGGCCCGTGAATCGAGATCTATTCATCGATTCTCGATGGAGGCTTTCCCTGGAAACTGTCATCTGGAAGACGACACATCCAAAGATCTGAACCATGGCCGGCCTGACTGCCGGTGGACGTCCCCAAACTCTACCATTATAGAGCTTACCTAGATTGCTTCCTCTGACACCGCCTCCCGTGCCTCCCTAGGTCCCAGCACTTCAACGCCGCGCATCAGCGAAACAGCGCCAGAACCCCATTGGCTCCAGATGCTTCTGGTTTCTGGATCATTAAAATGCATAGGAAGCAGCTGTGGGTCTGTCTATTATTAGGAAAGTTCGAGAAGGGCTTTTGCACAATGCGCAGGTCATTCAGGGGCGCGGTCCTTGTGATTGCAGAGGCTTTTCAAGAGGAGTTGAAGGATGCAGAGGCTTCGAGGTCATAGATGCCATGTTAGCCAGGCCATGGTCGATGATGCAAAGAGCAAACGACTTTTTTGATGCTAACTCAGCTTGCTCTCGACTGCACCTGAGGTGAAAGGTCTCAAGCAGCATCTATTCGGCGCAGGTGCGTGAAAGCGACTCAGTGAGTAGTTCTGCAAGTGCTCAGTGGGTACGAGAGGCCTCTGTGATTTCTGTGATGCGTCCTGAATGGTGCCCTGCGACAGATGACGCTTTAGTGTTGGACTGGTTTGCAGGAGGAGTGGAGTGTTGCTTTTGCTTTCCCGCGCGTTTGCTCTTTCACTTCGGATGATTTCCTGTTGGCGTGCGTGAATGCTTTCTGTTCAACATCACCGGTCGCGAGGCCTGCAGCCAAGAGAGGATAAGCTCCAATTGCTGAGCAGTGGGAAGTTGAGTCGGGATGACGGTCGGTAGCCGGTAGGGCGGCCTGTCACAGCGTGATTTCGGAGGCTATCAAGAACCGCTTGGGCAGAAAGGCAGAACTTTCGATTCCGGCGCAAGCGCCACAACCAGGAGGCTCTCGACGAATCTAGCGTCGCGGTCAGTGATAAAAAATGCGGACATTCGTGTGCCAGCCATGTTTGGGCCCATTTGCTTGCATGTAGTTTTTTGATACTCGCACACCCCCTTCTTTGGACCTCTGCTTCGGCTGGGTGGTCGACCTTGGCTGACCGTCTTATGCTTACGACCTGTCCTGCGCTTCCTCAGGCTCATGCCAGTCATCGAGATGTGAAGTGAAGCCTAAACAGACTCCCGAGCTTGGATAAAGCCCATAGCTGTCAATTCTTCCAGCACCCAGATCATGCCTGACCTAGTCTCCGATGCGTGGAGAGAGCGACCTCCCGTTCAACAACGACTGTTGGTAATGCCATGGCACAGAGGCCGCTCGCTTCCTTGCATGGTCTGAGAATTGGTTTTCGGCGTTCGAAGCTTTTGCTTCCTCTGCTTCTTAATCAGACTCACAGCCTTACAGCGATTGCGGGAGTGCGAGCAGGTCTTTCCAATGTTCCACAGGCCTCCGTAAATCAAGCCGCAGGTGCGAACATGCAAAGTCTGCCTAAAGAACGGACCGTGGCCGGACCAATCCAGACCTGTGAGTGTCCCAACAGATCTGCAGCCCTCGACATTCCCTTGATCCACGAAGCCTCCTTCTAGAGTCATGGCGCGAACTTTGGATATCGTAGCATTGGAAAGTTGTCTTGCGCTCGTTACGGGCTCATCATCTCTGCCCTTCTTGAGGACCTCGCCGCTGGGCCTGGCAGGTCGTCCTCTGGCAGGCGGGCACGAAATTGTAGCCAAGTACGGGCTTTTGACGTCCACGACACAAAGCATCTGCATCCCGAGTACCTGAGCTTCACATCAGGCTTGTCTCAGCCTGCTTCGGAGGCTCAGCCCTGCGATGTGCACTGTGGGCGCCCGTGCCCAGGTCGCTCGTGGAGGGTACTGGAAAAAGCTGAAAGATCCAGTTCAAAGCGGCTGTGGTCGACACAACATGTCATGCTTCCAAAGCCGGTCCACAAGCAGAAGGTGTCGCTCTTGCCGACCAGCGTCGACAGGGCCTCCTGTGAAGGTGCGATGAAGAGTGGAGATTCTGGATGTGCTGCAGAAGTGACAGAGAAGTCCCGCCGATTTTGCGGCACATCGCAGTCGTGTTCTCTCACGGACATAGGTAGAGTTTTTTGGTGAATGCCACACGGTATCAGTCGGAGAGCTTCAAGAGCGCACCAGGAGGGCGAGGTTCTGGAAATGCGCATGGAGACGCTGACCAGCTCAGGGCAGGCGCAGAGTTTCGAGTTTCGTCGCATGGCTTTTAAAGTTCTTGGGCAGGAGGCTCGGCTTGGCGATGAGAGAGAGGGTTGAATTTTGTATTCTGTTGCGGGTGCAAGAGATGATGCCAGGCTCTCGGGCGAATTGGTCCGACGCGATGGGTGGTCACTTTGTCGAAGAAATGTAGCAGACCACTACCAGACTCAGACTCACGTTTGCTGCTTGACAGCTCCGGAGTGGATTCCCTCCCGAGTCCCGAGGTCATGATATTTGGCGCACTCCCACGCGAGCTTGTTCAGCATTCCTGGCAAGTTTCGAGGATCGAAGAGGTGTGGGACATCAGGACTTGGATCAGCTTCCACATTTCTGGGGGCAGAGACTTTGGCGAAGCTTGAGACCGTTGCAGCCGAAAGCTTTGCTGAGCCGCTGGGGAAGGCTGCGGATTGTGCGAAACTACCGCAGCCGTTCGGAGGCAGGGCCACAGGTCGAGTGCGTTAAGGGAGTGCTATACAGCCGGGTTTCTCAGTCTGCAGGACTTTTTCTCTTTGAGAGTGTTTTATCGCGAGTGCTGGGAGGCTCGGCTGTGTCGCATCCTGGAAGCCTCCCCCGAGCGAGCGGCGCCAAGGCCAGGCCAAGTTCGCCCGCAGCGAAGGGGCCCGCCGCTCTTGAAGATGCGTTCAGAGAACACCCGGCTGCAGGTGCCCTCTCTTCATGCAGTGCAGCGGCTGCCAGTATCAGTGATCGCCCCAGTCGAGCGGAAGTGGGCCTGTTTTGCAGACCGAGACGAAGATCAGCGGTGACGGTGTGTCAAAGCATATCGCACCAAGGCACCTCAGCTATGAGTCACAGTTGTACTGGAAGCGCGAGCATGTGAAGCAGGCCTCGGGGATTGCCTTCCACCACCACTGGTTGCAAGGTCCCGGTGTGTCATCTGTTTGTGACTAGCAGGCAGGTGTGCTAGCGATGTGTTCCGAGCCATTTGGCCCAGAAGCCCTTTGTAGCAGAGGAAGCATGGCCGCCTCCACTCGTAGAGCCATGGCTCGGAGGAGGGGGGTTCGGTTTGTGGTGTATTCCTCAAAACTCTGTCTTTCCTGGTACAGGAGCAGGAGCTCCACTACTTTGTCCTTGTCCCTGCTGATGGTCTTGGTTCTGATATCTTGCAGGCGTCTCGTCTTTTGTGGCTTCTCCAGAACGTTGACAGGGCCATGCATTGGCGCGTGTGATCCAGGCATGGTTTTCTGTCGAGATTCCAAGCTGGTGCTGTCAAGCCCAGGAGATACTCAGTCAGGACGGCCTTCGTCCCAGGCGCGTTTGCATTGTACATGAACCGTGTTCAAACTGACGATTCGCACCTCACGCCTGCTCATGCGGCTGGTTGTGAACAGATTCGCCATGTACTAGCAGACCAAGTCCGCAGTTCTGACTCGGCAGATTTAAGACTGAAGCCTTTCGCGTAACGCTGCCCAAAGCTTGGCGGGTACTTGTTCAGGTCCACACGAGCAAAGACGGCCTGGTGTGCATTGCGGTGCAAGCCCTCAGCAGGCTTCGTGTTGCAGAGGAAGTGCCCGAGCAGGAACCACCCCCCAACAGTTTGAACTTGTGATGTGATTGAACAAACAGTACGGCTCAGCAATTGGTTGTGATACCGGCAACTAGTCATTAGAGCTTTTCTGGCACTGTCGTGTCCAGGCTGTATGGCTCCGGCAAGAGGTGATGCCTGGAAAGGATCGTCGCAGGGGATTCGGCGCGATCGCAGTAGCGGTATGTCAAGCTCAAAGACGTGCATGAGGGTTTGCGCTTGAGTCACCAGCCATCTTCTGCAAGGACATCGTGGAAAACCTGCCCGGCAACTTCTGGAAGGGTGTCACGCTCTTCAATGCAGTTTGCTGGGGGTCTTCCTACATCTCCACGAAGGACACGCTTTTTGAATGGAATCAATACGGTTGATGCTATGAATCCTGCATTACCTATCAGAAAGGCCATGCCATAATTTCCATAGTTTTATGTCATCAAGCGTAGGGTCTATGTGCATTGCAGTACCCCACATTGATTCAGAGAAGTCCTGCGGGTGCTGGCTTGACCTGATTATATTCTGTTATACTACTAACTATTATTTTCTGTTTCAAAACATACAGTCCCTTTTTTATGTTCTAATACATCAATATTCTAGAGCGGAGGCTTCCGATCTCGCTTCGTCTTTCTTGAGGCCGGCATCGATGCTCTTAGCTCAGCAGGAGTCGCCCGGCCGGCAAAATTGGCACATAAATACAGAATGACACAGTTTCGTAAACACATACCTGCAAAAATAAATACATACACACATGAACAAGATGAATAAATGCACAAATAGAACGATGCGTACATATATCCATACATACATACATCCTTGCATGCATACTTCCATACATCCATACATCCGTACATATACAGTTATATACTTATACATATACATATACATATACATATACATACATACGTACACACATACCCGCGTGCATGTCCGCACAGTATGTTGGGAGTCTGCAGCTGCTCAGGTCGAGGATGCCCCGGTGGTCTTCGGTGCCTTGCGCTTTGTGCTGGCAGCGTTGCCTTTGTTGCCTTGGCTGTGGAAGTCCAGTTCTCCGGAAAGCGCCCGGAGCAGCGCCATCGTGGGCAGTTTGGGGGCCGTGGCCTACGCCGCCGTCTTTGTATCCTTCTCCTACGGGACGACCGGGGCCAAAGCTGCCTTCATCACTGCTCTGCAGACCACCGTGGTGGCTCGATCCCAGATTGATTTTGTAGCCCGGTGCATGCATCCAAGCCGACTCAAGGCTCGCATGCTCTGATTCGTGACTTCCGAAAAGGGGGGGCCTAGCTTAGCTGCCGCAGATCCGAGGTGGCTTCTTTGAGCTCTATGGCGGCCAAGCGGCTCAATCTGAGCACATTCTGCTCGGCGCTTCTAGCGTTGGGTGGCGTAGGCGTGCTGGAGTTTTCATCGGGGCCTGTGGAAGCTACAATCGGTGACCTCATATGCATGGCTTCGCCCATCCTCATCGGACTCAGCCCGCACCTCAGCCCAGACTTCGGCAGCCAGCATCCCGCTCGACATCTCATCGATGCCATCGCATCCCATAGCTCGTGAAAGCACCGCCGAGTTTTCGGCTGTTTATGCATCGGTCTCTCACCCCCTCCCAACAAGTAGTTCCCATGACGCGCAAAGAAGGAACGACACACGCGGATGAAGAAACAAAAAGGCTCGGAGAAAGAGAGAACGAGACAGGGAGTCTGACGTCTGCTCAGACCATGTGTTATACGACAGCAGGCACAACCTTCCTTCGTGAGGGGTGTGGGAGACGGCACTTTCCGGGTTTTTACGTGTCGTTGGTATGTGCGGCGTGTCCAAGGAGTCCAAGGTGTTGCGACAGGGTGAAGCGAAGGCGAAGCAAGTACGTTGCACGAAAGTAATGCTGAGTCAGCTGGTTGTCCTCACCACATGAGCTGCTTTTTTTGTTAGTTATGGCGGGAGACTTTCCCTGCTTTGTGATGAAATGAGTGGTTTCAAAGCTTGCCCTCTCACGCCTGGACAATGGGAATCGCGAGGATGGGTTTAATTATTCTTGCACTCTACAGCCGATGTCAACAGATTCTTTGCCACGCGAGGAATTGACTTCGTATATTTCATGGCCTTGCCTTCTACTCCCGGGACTTTCTCTCATTGTACCTCTTCAGCACCCGAAGACAATTCGGGTCGGCCTGGGCCAGTCTGACTAGCTGCTCAGGCCCGGAGGGAGAGAGAGCGAGGTTCTAGTTCCGGAGGAGCCCAGCTAGCCGCTGAAGAAAGCAACGCGTGGCACGGCATGTCTCAGGCACACGACGGGAGCAAAGTCCACAGAAAGAGCGTGACAAAGAGAGAGAGAGAGAGAGAGTCTATACCCTGTGCTCGTACAGACAAGCTACTCTGGGCTAAGCCTGGGGGGAACCACCACTGTCTGGGGGATTGTGTCTGTAGCAGGTAGCTAGAAAAGTGAGTTTTGCTCCGGAACCCCCAGCAGTGTGGTGCCCGTTGCTCGTACAGCCGAGCCGCCTAGGGGAACAAACCCTGGGGGGATGTAAGACCTCCCGCAACAAGCGGGTGTGCGTGCGCGCACGGGGTGACGGCCCCGAACGCTGGCCTGATCCCCAAGCCCGGGAGAGAGAGAGAGAGAGTCCGTAGCCATTTTGGCTCAAGCCGTGAGTGGTTCGAGCCGCTGAGGTCAGTGCATCCGCCCTTCTCTCCTTTCTTTTCGGTAACTACCGCACTGGCCCGGGGCAAAACCAGGGGGAACCTCTTTCCTCTTTTGGCCTGTCTCGACACTCTTCTGCCGCATTGCAGCCCTTTGTCAACGAGATCTTCGCCGCTCTTCCTGCCGGGGGTTCACCGCCGCGAGATAGTAAAGAACGCAGCCGGACGTGAACCGCTGCTGACCTCCTCCTTAGGGACTTTGGCAACAGCTACCTGAGTGAGATTGGCGAGCCTATAGGGGGACAACCTCAGGTACCCGTTTCTGCCCAAGAACGAGGGGTCGTAAAGGAGCGCACAGGTGTGATCGTGACACTATCACAACGCCATCGAGAATGAGATCTTCCGTGGTGGAGGACACAAAGGCTGGGGACCAACCCAGGCCAAAGGCGGGCAGCTCGCCTACTAAGGACCGAAGCTGTGGTTCAAGCCCGGGGGACACGATGCTGACGTCAACCAGCTCTTGCAGCCGCCCCCCCCCCCGCGAACGTCGCAGTGGTCGATGGCACAGTGAGCGCAAAGGGCAACAGTGAGCGGGGGATTCTGAGCGCAGTAGGGGGCCACTCCCTTTTTGTACATCTTTCTTTCGAAGCCAAGTGTAGTCCTAGACGGGGAAAAACCCCATGGGCCAAACATCTCTTGAGCACGTGCATGCTGTAAAGTTTTCTTTCCGATGCAGGGGTTGCCCTTAAGACATGACACCTGCTGTGTGGAGTGACGTAGTTTTCGCCATCGCTTTTTTCCAAACTGAATTGCATCCTTAGTTCTCTCTCCGTAACACGTCGTGCTATAAGCACTAGTCTTTGACGGGCCGCTGAGCCATCCATGAACATAGCGCCGAGCCCCCTCTCTGGGGCATGAATTTGAAACGTGCTCAACTTTCCTTTTTGCTGGTCGGGGGTTCCCTTCGCCTGATGTTGTTCTTGTTGTTTCGCCGAAAACGGGGAACCCCCGCCAGCACACTATCGCTCCACCCTTTCCACAACGGTCGGGGGCGCACTCGCGCGCGGGGTGGGGTGCAAGCCCTGCCCCGTTACCCTGGCGAAAGAAAGAAAGAGAGTCTGTTGGGGGAAACGGGGCGCCTCGGCGCGGGCTCCTGGAGCCTGACCCTTGCGAAGCGAAGCGAAGAGAGACAGCCTCGAGGCCGGAGGGCCAGAAGAGAGACTTGCTGAAGCAGAGACAGTTGAGGTTGGCATGTGCTCGGCGAGAGCACGAAGAAGTTTCCAAAGGATGCCACACCCACTGCAGCTATCCAACTTTTGTGCTTTGGCATGCTCTTCGCGGTATGGCCGCTAGTCCGCAATGGGGAAGCCAATCCCTTGCTCGATCCGGCATGAGAAGGAGCATCCTAAACTAAACTCTAGACTCTAAGCTGTAAGCGCCCAATCGCACCGGACGCTCGCTTTCTGAAACCGTTCAGATTGAATGATCGAGCCGAAGATGTGTTGGACTTTCTTTCCATGGGGATGAGCACTCAGGGGCTTCATCGTACCAGAGCTTTTGGGGTGTCTTCAACAAGCATTTCAAAAGGGAAACCGGGGGAGGAGCCACTACCTCTTTTCCATGTCTCCTGGGTAAAGTCTTCCAGGTCGCTGGGTGAACTGCTGCTGCGCCATGGTCCTGCGGGGCTGCTGCAGGGCGCCACCCACTTTCCCGAGCTGCTGCAAACGCCAGGCGACTATTGAGCCACGTGCAGTCTGTATGTGTTTACGTACTTACACGTGGATACGGCGTATGTAGGAAGGTGCAAGAAGTTGTGTGCTTACATACTTCGCATTGTGGGCATAGTGCATCCTGCAGCATTGCGTGGCACAAGAAACTACAGGTGATGCATCATGATACATTTCGTACAATCATTGCAATATGCTACAGCAGGGACGCAATGGTGAAGACACAGTCAGACAGACCAGCAAACGGAGTGATAACTGTGCTCACGCACGTGTGACTTTGATTCACCGCGACCTGCGCTTGGAGGTCTTCTGCCGGCGCTGCTGTTTTCAGCTTTCTTTGGCAATACGGTGACCATGCTACTCAGCAGTGATGCTCGTCAGTGACTGATCTATATCTCCTGTTGCGTTTTTGCGCGTGGTCATGTTTCTGGATGCTATAGAAGCCCGCTGCTGACATCCAGGAGGCTATGAAGCGCCTCAAGGCATCTGACGTCCGGTTCCCAGCTTGACGCCAGACATGTCACTGGTATCACCTGTATCAAAGGAAATGGAGAGGTTCAAAGGCGCTTGTATGGGTTTGAAACCTCCCTAAAGGAAAGCTTATTCTGACCCTCCAAGCAAAGCTCTCAACCCGTAAAACAGAACCATAAACATGTCCCTGCGGTGATTCTTGCAGACAGCCTCTCATAGGCTCCGAAGCTAATCACGAAAGGGCCATGGCTTCAGACCTCAGTAAGTTTGAGAAAAGACAAGCTACAAACGTAGACTGTGATGAGTTCGTACATGTACTCAACTGTACACATGCATGCAAACATGCATGTATTTTTGCCTGAATGAATGTGTTTGTGTGTGTATGTGTGCTTGAATGTATGTACGCATGAATGAATGAATGTATTTATGAACGCAGGTAGGTATGTATGCATGCAGGCAGCAGGCAAGCAGGTAGGTAGGTATGCATGCATGAATTCCAAACTAGGTAAAGAACGCCAGAGAGGGTATAGATGGATAGATAGATACATTGATCGAGAGATAGATCATGATAGCGAATGATAGATGAGGTTTCCCTCATCGTAGCCTCCGAGCCTCTTTGGGCAGCTCTGGCCGCCGCAGCCTTCCTCGGCGAGGCACAGCACTATGGTGGAGTGGGGGCATCCGGTAGATTGCTCCGGGCTTCTTCGGGGTTCCGGCCTTGTTTGAGCGTAAGGGGAGCACCGTGTGCTCGCTGCCCAGATCTTCACCGCCTCTGACATGGCTGGCGGCTTCCTGGTCCTGGCCGGCATCCTTTGCAACGAGCAGCCCGGACTCGGACTGTTGCAGCGCTAGGCATGTTGCTTTCACCCGGCTCTCCTGGTCGCTTTCTGCGAAGGTTCTGGAAAGGCCCCGAGGCTGAGGCTGAAAGCAGCGAGGTTGGGGGCGGGGGCTGTGGCGCTGTGGCGCTGGGATGGGATGTAAGTGCGGTTCGAAGGTGGTGATGGGTTCATGCAGGTCGAGCTGATCAGACTGAACAGCACGGCGGCATCTCCATGAAGTCGCGAGGAAGGCGTGAGTTCGACGACTCCGGAGCGGCGTTCCTTTAAGGAAGGCCCTTTGAGCTCCGAAAGAAGGCGGCTTGGGGCCTTCCTGTGACTCCCGTCAGAATCCTTTTGACCTGCATGAGCTGCTGTGGTGTGATGCCAAGCGGCCGCACGGGCTTCTTTAGATGAGGTACCTGTGCCTCCCAATACTGTCGAATGCCGGTAGGCAACAAACCGCACTTCACAACCACAAAAATCGGCCAGAGGAGAGGGGGCGTGCTTTTGATCATCTTGGATTTGTGGTTGGGCTGTGCGGGCGATGCCTGCTTTTGTTTTCCAACCATGGCCAGCTTGCAGAGCATCGGCGCAGACGCAGCAACCAGACCATGCCCCTGTGATGACAAGTCGACATCGAATCGTTGCGGTTGAGGGCATTTCTGGTGCATGGCTCGCCGATCAATGTACAGAAAAGGCTCGGCAACTAAGGCCTGCATGGGGCTCGAACATGTGCCAAGACTGGGCGGTCGTAGCTCTGAAACAAAAATCTCTTTTGTAGTCAGATGTCACGGGGATCATTGGGACAGATATATGAACCAGCTCTAACTATTCTTTTGTCAAGCAAGACTCGATCCCGATCGCCCAGAGGTTGAATGCCTCATGAAGGTGGCCAATCAATCCAATCCATGAACTCATTGCGTCGCTTTGCTGACGTATGCATTGCACGTGAAATACAACGGAGAATTCAGAAACAAGGACACTCTAGCCCGTCGCATGCGCAGCACAACCTGCACATGACAGGCGGGCTAGGAGTTCCTCCTTTGTCCGGCCATGGCAGCTAAGCCCGACGAGCCTAAGTCGCAAGTGGACGATGCTGCGGTCAGGAAATGAAAATTGAAAACAAGCTGAGACCTTCATTGGCTCGTTTTTGAGGCGCCCAGGGTTTGCAGTGAAGGGAGAGGCACGTGCTCGTCACCGGATCGGACAGCATTCGCCGGCTAGAGGCGGTCGTTACCGGCGGGCGTGTTACAAGAAGTTGTGGCCTTCCCGATACCCCGAGGCGGTTGTGCACGACAGCATATCCCCTTCGGCACGACTTCGCCCATGGAAGGCCCTGTCGCGAATTGCTGGCATTGCTGCAGATGTGGCTCCCACAGTGTGCAGAGCTGAGGGGGGCAGGTTGTCCAGCTGGGGTTTTCGGTGTGCTTGTTGCAGAGTCAGAGTGGGAGAACGGACCGCGTATTGATTCCTTCAAAAGTCTGACAATGCATTGTTGAAGTTGAAGTCGTGGAGCCTACGGTGTACGCATTGTTTTGGACTCGCAGCTGATCTCAGCCTCGATCCGGCGCGCACAACCTACCCGATCCCACATCTTACACGCGCCATATGGAACCTAGGCCGACATCGTGCTGACTTGGGTGCATAAAGACGAGACTACGGTAAGCCAATGCTGCAAACAACAGGCTCCAATTGCAGTTTCCATCCGTTCTTCCGGACTCCTGCCTTGCCGGCCGCTGGAGCCGATGCTGCAGCAAGCTGGCCCTTCCCAGGTCCTGAAACAGGACGTGGAGGGGACGCGCTCCTCTGCCTTTGCAGGTTTGTGCACGATGAGATCTGCTGTCGATGTCAGCTTTTGCATGGACTGGTCTTGAGGACTTGCCAAAACGCGCCGTGGGCGAGAGCCATGAGGACTCCACAGTGAAATCCCAGCTCGGAGCATGGCTGGCCCCAAGACAGTAGAAGTGCGCAGTGCACCACCCTCCTCGAGCCTCGGCAGTCCTTGCAACGGTAGACTCTTAGACAGTAGAGATACTAGTACCCCCAAAAAGGCAGCAGCTTCAGTTTGCTGTGTCGGTGCCTAAAAACCTTCGCGCCGGAGGTGCGGGGCCTCTCCGAGCCAAGTCGCTCCGTGAGCCGAGCCAAGGCAGGAAAGCTGTTTCCGGGAATCGGTGCAGTGCGCTGCACTTCCCGTTCTTGCTTTTTTCTTGCCTTGTTGTTATACATGCTTGCCTGGACCATGGTTTCCCAGAGCTGAGCGGCATCCCTCCTGGCATGTTCCCCGTCTTTTCCACCGGTTGACTCGTGGCACGCCTGACATGCCTCGCACTCTTCTTGCTCCAGAGCTTTGCTTCGCGTCGTCTCGGGGTTCCTCGAGGTGCCGGCGGCCCTCGGGGCCGCCGCGGCTGTGGCAGCGCGGAGGCGTCTCGGCAGGCGTGCGCAGGCGGCCTGGGCCTCACTGGAGGCTCAGGCTCACTGGCGCATGATGGCATGATGGTTCCGCATGGGCGCTCGCCCGAGGCTGCGACACTGACCTTCCAAGACGATGGCTGGGATGACGATCCGGACACGAATGCCGAAGACTCAGTTTCACAGGGCAATTAACATGCAGACGCCGCAGATACCGGCTGGGTGTTGCTGAATCTTCCATTCCAACAGGAGGAGGTTCCTTTGAGCAAGAAGGCACCGCTCCTCATTGACGGCCGGGGATCTCAGCTGCTGCTCCCGACACCCCCTAAAGACGAGTGAGTGCACGCTCGACTCAGCCAGGCCGGATCGTGGTTCCCCAGCGGAGCTTCCGGGTGACCAGCCCAGCCACGGGGTGCCTGGGCTGAGAAGAAACGTCAGCGCTGGGAGTGCGAGGCTAGAAATGAACATGGGTTGGTTGTTCCCACTGCGGCACGGCACAGAAGTATCTGTTGGATACCGGCCCCACTCAGTAACAATTAAAAATATTCAGAATATAGATATATTAGGACCTTAGTAGTAGCCTTATTATAGACTGTTACTGTACCCAAAGTATCTACCAGCACTCGCTGCGACTAGCTGGCTCCCACGCTTTCTGCCTAAGGGACCTGGTGGGCGTCGCGCCAAACGCCTCGAAAGAGATGATTGAGGTGCAAGTTGAGGGTGAATGCCGACTCCAATCCGAGACCGGGAGCTAAACGCCTTGAGGAAACTACGTTGTCAAACTCCTGCCCGCTGCTTTGCCCGCTGCTTTGCCCGCAACCCTTCTTCGGCCTTGGGGCCCAAAGCCTTTTTCACGGAGGCCGCCGTGGTCGCGGCCGCGCGCGCGGCGCCGGGCTGGGCTGCGCTGCGACACGCAGAGCGGGCGGCGATGCTTCAGCCGCTGGGATGGGCAGAGTCGGAGAGGTTTGGTCTTCCTCGCCGATGAATTGGCCGCTTTTCGTAGAAGCTGGTCTTCGCTCTGATCGCAGCTTCAGGCAGCTGGAAAAGCAGTTTCTAGGTCTCACTGTCAAACGGGTGAGGGGGGCCGATTCCCAAGGTCCTGTGCTGATGCACTCAGGGCAAACCTCGAGGCTTGGCCTGGGGTGAGAGGAGGGGAGTTCACAGAGCCTACGGCCTACTGTCTGGATAAAGCGATGAGCTCTTCCGACCCACCATAGGCACTGGCGACACTCCAGACAAACGAAAGTGGACGACCACTGGCAGAGACGCGGCTGGAGGTCGCTGTTTTCTTACTGTTTTTGGAGGGGCGGGGGCTGAGAAGTAGTTGGTCGGCTTCGGCCCTTCTTGAACTCTTTCGCCCGAAACTTGAAGCAGCCCTGCATGCTTGTTGCATGGGATGCCGTGCGCAGGTCATCGTTGCTGCAGCTTCCTTTGAAAATGCTGCGCGCCGCCTGGCTGGTGACACAGATGCTGGCTGCTACGGTGTAGCTGCAGAGAATCGTATGACTGACACGCGTCGAAGCCGCGAAAAGCATGGGAAGCGAGTGCCAAAAGCAGGTTTCTTGGACGTCAGCCAGGCCTGTGCCTCGAGCAAGGGTTCATGGCCATCATGGGCATGTTGCAACTCCTTGGAGGATCTCTGTGCTTACCGCTTGTCTGCAGGAGCGGTTGATCTCTGAAGATGAAGAGAAGAAGGCTCTGAAAGAATCGTCTTGGTCAATGCAGGCCTCCTGATCGTGCTTCCGCTGAGAGGTCGTCATTCGTCGAATGCCCGTGGGCGTGGTGGCAGTGATCGCGCCACTCCACATCAATCAGTGATCTGGGTCTCTAGGTCAAGTCCGCAAAACTCCCCCCTGTGTCGAGGAAAGCCTGAGGTTTATGGAGTACTTGCTGTGTTTTGAGCATAAGGCCATGGAATGCACCCATTGTGCTCGGCTGGAAACCGACGGCCACGGCATTGGCTTGTGGAAACCCGGTGCCTTGATCGAGAGAGGGGAACCAGGGTTGTTTGAAGAGCTGTGAATGGGTGCAGTGTTCTTATACTGCATGTACAAGTAATGTTATCTGTATGACTTGGCAGAGCCGCCCAGCCTTGGAAGCTCGCCTTCAGGTGGTGCTGAAGCCCGCGCCGCAGACGCCCCTGACAACGCTGCGAATCGGGGAGCTGCTCCGGTCGCTGCTGCCCCGAGGTGCCCGCAGCGCAGAAAAATGAGATGGGCTGCGTATCTGAGACAGTGGGCAACTTGCTCCACTGGACCAGGAGTGCTCAATGTCGTCGTCGGTTCAGACCTCAACACCCCGAGGCCTGAGTTGGGATATTCGGGCATGAACTTGCACTATGTATATGCTGATGATAATGATGATAGCAGATACTGTAGCTATCTGTAGCTATTGGGCTGTGCTGTTTGTCATAGTCGTGTTTGATTGTTTCGGCAGGCCCGGCGAGATCTTGACCAGCCATGACCTCGCACTCTGCCTGCAAGGAAATCGGAGGTCTGCTCGTTTGTTTTTTGCATGAACATTATTGCGAGTAGGCACTGTCATTGCTGTCGCAAGTCTTCCGATATCATGTCATAGCTGTCGGTATTGCATTGTAACGCCCCTTTTCTAGCAGTCTCCATATCAAAGTGCTTCTGCCGCTTCATGCCTGTTTGCTTCGTGACTCGATGCGTGCACAGTGTAGTGGCAGCATTCCGCAGCCTCATTGCTACATATCTTGGTGTCTTTTCATTTTTCCATGTGATGTCCCAGGTGCGGAAGGTGGTCTTCACCGGCTCCACTGCCATTGGCAGCAAGGTGGACCGAAGTATGAGCGTTCGCTTCTACTCTTCGCAGAGGATCCGTTTGCCTCAGCTCGCAGGTCATGGAGGCTTGTGCCAAAGGCTTCAAGCGGCTGCTTCTGGAGCTGGGAGGCACTGAGCTCAGACTCCTGTGACGCAAACGAAGGGTGCTTGATCTGAAAGACAGCACCTCGCCGGCTCAGCCGAGGCAACGATCCCGCGATCCCTAACTGCATCAAGTTTTGAGGTTCCAAGATAATTCCGTGAGCTTTGCGCAGAGTTGAAGCACACGGGGTGATAACTGAGCCGACTTTCGCCTCAGTACTTGTTTCTTCTTTTGGCTTTTGGTTTGCGAGGGTTGGACGGGTAATGACGTCCGGTTTCTGCAGATCGTTGCATGTGGTAGTCACTGGCAGTCTTCGTGGTTGTCTTCATGATGGTGTCGGTGATGGTGCCAGGCTCCTTCGATCTGGTAGTCTTGATGGTGATTGTGAGGGTTTGGCATTTCTCATGTTGTCTTCATGATGTCCTATCATATCATGTTATGTCATATTATCATATCAAACTTATCACGCCACATGATGTCTCACTATGTTCGATTACCTGTGCGGAACCGGTTTACTTTCAAGCTGCGACTTCCCGACAAAGAGAATCACAAGATCGCAAGTGCGACGAGTGTGTACGAAACTCGGAGTTTTTTGTTGCGTTTCGAAACCCCAAGCGAAAAGAACTATGCCGTCAATGCGGGGTGCTTTCGACACGAACGACAGTTCCGAAGGGTCCAACAATCCCCAGCAAGGGAGGTTTCGGAAATGCTGCCAGAGCTTTCAGAGCAGCCTCAAACTAGCCAGGATCGTGCGAGAGGACTGCGACGTAGAGAAGGCGGCCGAAGGCCTTTTCAAAGGAGCGTGCCTGGGCTGCGACTGTGTGCGACTATGACTACGGCAACCAAGTAACCAAGGCTTCTGAGAGCACAAGAGCAGACTTACAAGGTTGTCTGCATGTATGTGCGGGATGATAGGCAGACATACCTATCGAAAGAGAGACAGGCCTGATAGAAGAAGCTCCGACTTGATTGAGCGCATTTAGTTTGCGCCTGTGCCGCAATGCGCTAGAGTCGCTATAGCGTGGCCCCAATTCCTTGCAAACGAGCTTCAACGTTGATGTTGGCAGTGGAAGTGAGTAGATATC